CCCCAAAACCCCAAAACCCCAAAACCCCTAGTAGATAATATATAATTTAAATTTTAGGATAAATATATAACTTTTATTACGAATGGATCTACTGAAGACTAAATTTGAAGAGGCAAAGAGTACTCTTGATAAGTTACACCAAAAAAATCCTCTCCTCGTTTATACCTTTGCCATGATTGGAGCAGGCTATTGTGGGTTTAAGTTACTTAAAGATATAAGAGGTATGCTTAGATACACGGTTAGGCCAGCTTATGATCTCAAGAAAAGATATGGAACTAACTGGTGAGTAATTACTGGGGCTACTGACGGAATTGGTAAAGGATTTGCATTTGAACTTGCCAAGAGAGGAATGAATGTTGTCTTAGTGGGAAGAAACCAACAGAAGCTTGATGATGTTTACACCCAAATCAAGAATCTTTATAAAGATGTAGATATTAAGAAAGTCATTTTTGATTTCAACAAGTACTACACTGATGATGTTATACAGGATCTTACTGAGAAATTTGAAGATATTGAGAAGTGTTCTATTCTTGTCAATAACGTTGGAGTTGCTAGTGCATACAATCATGGGGATATGGAAGATCAGAAAACACATAACATGATCAATGTTAACATCACTGCTAACACAGTGATGACAAAGATTTTCATTCCAAAGTTGCTAGCAAACGATCAAAGAGCAGCAATGATAAATATTGGAAGTTTTATATACAACGTCCCTAAACCAACATTGGCTGTGTATAGCGCATCTAAAGCTTACATCCATCAATTCTCCACTTCTCTAGCTGAAGAATACAAATCTAAAATTGATGTAATAGTTTCAAACACCGGATATGTCAAGAGCAACATGAACAGTGGAAGATACATGTTTACGATAACTCCAGACCAACATGCTAGAGGAGTGCTTGATAAGCTAGGCTATGACACTGAGACTTGTGGGCACTACATCCACGCTATCCATCAGTACTACCTTGAAAGACCAATCGAAGGGGCTATTATCACCTATATTAACAACCAGAGGAGGAAGAAGTTCCTGCAGGAAAGAGACCAGGCTGATAAAGAGGTTGAAAGCAAGAAGAAGTCATTAGAAGAGACTAAGGACCCCAGATAGACTAACTTAAATTTGAAAATAAGATTCAATTAGATTTTTCTTGGTTGGGGTTTTGGGGTTTTGGGGTTTTGGGGTTTTGGGG